TCACGTCCCGGGGCGGAATGCTAGGACCCCAAATTGCTCACCCCACTTGGGGTGATTCAGCTCACCCCACTTGGATCTGCCCCAAATTCGCAGGCTCCCACGTGGCCCAGAGTGCTCTGTTTTAGTCCACATTTAACACCAGTTTGAGTTTCTATAGGCCCTATCCTCTTGCTAGTCCCCTCCCTGCTTCCCCTTTGGTCTGGAACCCTCAATCCTATTATTTAGGAGCAAGTATGCTGATCACTGGTCTGTTCTTTTAAGGACTGAAGTCAGACTACAGTGTACAACATTTAGTGAGGCTTCCAATGAGATAGAAGATTCCCATGGTTTTTTATGATTATTATTACATTACTATAAGAGGGAAGATCAGCGGGTCTAAGGAAAGTTGAGTAATTTGCCTAAGATCACACAACTAGTAAACTCATAAAACGCAGAGTCAGGATTTGAACCCAGGTTTCCTGAACTTCAGATTCTGTGTCCCTTCCAGTAGGCCTTTTCACCTACTGTGGTATTGCACTTAAATTCCCCATTTCTGTCTTCAATCTGCAGATTGGGTCATCTCATGGCATCATTTCAGATGCCTCAGCGCTAAGTATGTGACTAAACTTTGACAAATCTCTCTCAGCCAGGCCCACCCTATGTCCCATTCTGCCCTGTCTCGAGTGAGGGTGTCATCCTTCCCCTCCCCTGCTACTCTGCCTTATTAATAAATCCTCAGAAATGACAAATGCTGAGAAATCAACATTTTTCTCTATTTGACAACATTTCTCTTTATCTCTGGTTTCTTCTACTTCCATTCTATAAAAGCTACTGATTCTGAGATGCCACCAATATTATTTGAGAGAATACTCAGCTATAGAAAAAGTTTCCTAACTAAGCTATTATATTTTCTGTCTGCTATTTAAGTTGTAAATTGTTTTCTGTTAGCTTTAATTTATTAAAATGTGCCATTAGGAGTCAGAAAATGTTTTGAGAACCCAGTTAATATGCCCTGGCACCAACACTCAGGGAAAGTTACGCCTCTTCAGCTAAGCAGATGCTTAAGTCATTTAAAGGCTTATTTTAAAGTTCAAAAATGAAATTATTATTGCACAAAGACATCAACACAGGGCTTAGATGAAGAGTATGATAGGAAAGCAACGAGTGATACTTTATATGGACAAATACCTTTTTATGGTCTATTAACAATTCTATGCTTGAACTAGTAGTTATTCACATTATCTTCTAAATGGAGCATTGTTCAGAAGCACTGGACTGTAATATTATGTATTACATTACCAGGAGAATAAAGTGATAAAAGAGTTGAACTATTTTCAAATGATTGCTGGAGAGATACTAGAGGATCAATGAGTTTGCTGCACAAGAGAGAGGGAGCGAATAAAGAGAGCTCCATCCCTTCTGAACACTGACTAGGATGCATAAGAGAGGACCGATATTTCCACAGGGTCCAAGTAATAAGACACAGCACTGGAAAGGATGGAGGGGGTTGTAGTTTTCAAGGTCTCTCTCGAGATGAGCAGGGGTACATTAGGGTTTACTGGACCAGAAGTCCCAGCTGGACTGAAAGAGAGCGGGTGTTGGGCATGGACTAAATGGGACCACAAGACCCCAGCAAGCTGGGCAGCATCCCAAGAAGCCTGCCATAATCAGGCACTGAGGCAGACATCCAGTAATTTGGCCAGCGTATGTAGTAGGAGTGAGAAGAGGTCAGCTTTTTGAGGCACAAGGACACTCAAGGGTCTTAGGAAACAGGATGGATACCAGGATTATGGCTGTGCTCATGATTTGGGATCACAGCTGCTTGGGGAGAATTGAGTTTCTAACATGTGTGCTGTCTTATTTCAAGAACTGGCCAGACTGAATCGTTAAGTAACAGAGCCTATTTATTTGCTAAAGCCTTCCACTGATTATGAATAATAAACTCAGTACATCTCCAACCATGGTGATAGTCCCTGTCCATCTCTTGTTTAACAATTACATCTTATTTACTTTGGTTTTCCTTACCGGACCTAGAGAGGTGCTTGCCTATTTTAAGTTCTTAGTTAGTGTATGGTGGCATTCTCTCTTTGAAACTAAGGTGGAGAAGAATATTGTTTTAGCAGCTTGTAACAAATCCTCCTAGAGAGAGTGATAACTGTATTGGGTAAAGGTTTGTTGGTGGATTTAGAGAAGGAAAGTAAAACTCCTTCATCAGGGACATAGTGAAAAAAAATAAAACGAAGATCTGTGATGCAGAAGCAATTAATAGGCATTGGGCACTAGGTTAGAGCCTGAAGAAAAAGAGAAAGAGCTGAAGGAAAAGGTAGGTGTCTGAGAAGAGGAAGTGAGATCAACCAATGAGATGTTCCCAGTGGTGAGTGACTTCAACAACAGGGATGTTTCATATTTCGTTCTGAGTTGTTGATGTTATTGCAAATCTTATCTGTTTCTCTGAGTCCTCAGGCTTTGTGTTTGTGATATTTTGGGCATGATGGAATTTGAGCGGTATCCATAATGAGGCAATGAAGGAAAAAAAAGGTACTCTTCAGACTCTACGATGAAACCTAAATTAACTAACTCAGAGGAAGCAGGAATGGGAATTCCGGGTTGAGCAGGGAAAGCATCAGGTCTGATCATTCACTTTAGTAAAATTCCTGGAGACAACCGGAGGGACCTAGGTTTTCCTTTGCTGGTGGGGTGGGAAATCAACCTGTTTAATGTAAATTTAAAGGATTTGTTCATTTTAAAAGACTTCCCAGTTCCAGACCATGAGAGCAAAAAGAAATTCTCTATACATCTTATCCTCCCACTTTGTAATTCAATACAGATCTGACATTAAAATTATATATACCCAGATCTTAAAGAACTTGTTCACTATAAAAACACATTTATAATCCTTCAAAATGATGAATTCCTTAAATTAGCATCCTGCTGTGTACTTTCATGTCCTAGAAGTATATTTTAAGATTCTATGGGTAGAGAGCTAGAATTTCAACACCCAAAAATTAAAATAGATATATAGAACTCTGTCCATTGACTTCATTACTAGAGCTTTTAATAGTCTCTTTCAGTATTGTCTTTTGATATTGAGAAATCTTTCCTTCTAAATGACTTATTTAATACCAACCTTTAAAAACTACCCTCAATTGTTCTTGCATTATTTTATTGATTTTAACGAGCCCATAAGTACTTTTATTATATCCATATACACGTGTGAAAATTGATACTCATGAATTGATGTTTATGGAGTTTAAACTCATATGTGGTGGAACCAGCACCAAACTCACATCTGACCATAAGACTTAAAAAACGAGAGCTCCTGTAAGCGAGGGAGCCATCATGGTCTGTGCCAAAAATTCTTCCCTTAACACTTTCCACACATCATGAGCCTTTTATATGCCAAGGTGGGCCTTTCTTAAGCCTTTTAAAAAAATATGGAAATTAAAGCAGAGTCTTTATTACTAACGATGCTGGCACCTGGCAATGTCATAACATGAATTATACAATAAAACAAGGTAATTATGCCAAAATGATTATTCAGAACTACTAAGAAACTTATATTATTATCATATATTAAAAATTCATCCTACACACATGTATAATTCTAGACTCAGAATTATACTAGCCAGACTCACTCCTTAAGTGTAAAACAGAAACAAATTTTCTCTGCCTTTCTCTTACTTTCTCTTCCTAGACAGCAATAATAATAATAATGCTAATTTAACATTTATTAGACTGTGCAGCTTACACAGGTTTTCATATCTGAATCCAATTTTTTCACAACAGTGACACAAGTAGAAGGTCGAGGTGTTAAATATCTCATTTTAAACATGAAAATGCGTTAGGCATAGAAAGTGTCATTGGCTTGCTTGATTTCACACTACCCACCTAGGGCACCATGAGGCTCCGATCCAGCTTTTGTAACCCACTTTAAAGTGCTGTGGCGCAACAGAGAGGAATATCACTTTCAGCTTAAACAAGCCCATCACCAAGTTAAACGGATGCCTGGTATTATGAACCATTGGTCCCTCAAGCCTGCAGATAACCAGCTTTTCTTCTAGCCACCATCATCATTAGATATTACTTCCCTTTCCACAGCTTTCCAGTGGTTCCCAGATGCCTCTTAAATCCAATTAAAAACTCCTGAGTTGGAGTTCTTGCTCTTCTAGCCATCAGTTGGTTTGTTTTCAGCTCTTAGTGTTTTACTCAGATTGTTCAATTTTATCCTTTCGTGGCCCTGCTTGTAAAAATCTCCTCTTTGCCAAAGCATGTCCTTCTCCTTGAGATCACAGCCACTTCCCAAGAAAAGCCTAAGCTTCATCCTTTTTTTGTTTCCCACTTCTCTAACTTTCCACGGCCTGGCTGGGATGATTGTGTGCTGTGTCAGGCGCTGGCTGACGGATGGAAGGAGGGAGGGGTTGGGATTAAGACCTTGGCAGGCGTTCTCTAGGACTCGCCAGTTTTAGTCTAACACCTCTTAAATTAAACTCTAGGCCTTTTCTGGAGTGGGAGGCGAAAGTGAAGAAGCAGTGGAGATAAGAGAGGACGGATGTAAAGAAAGAAAAATCTTCAGTAAGAGGACTGAAACTTTGGACGGCAGAGAGAAGTAGATTCATCTGGGATTGTTTCTGCCAGCACTTCTTGATCTGAGATTTCTGCTATGGCTCCATTCAGGATCAGTCTCTGTGAAAATTCCTCTTTCTCTTTTCTTTCTCTGAACTCCTATGGAGGCCTAGAGCTGGCTTTCTACACTGGGCAAGCCAAGTACCCCCAGGAAGGCTTGGAAAAGTCCCCCTGATTGGTTTTTATGTTTTCAGTTTACAAGGTAATTCCTTCACTAAATTAGACTAAGCTGATTCGCACAGCATTTCTCCCTCCCTAAAGATCTGAGTAAATTAAAAGTTCTAGATACACAATAACTTTCTAATTTACTGACGCTATCATATTTTGAACCCTAATGATGTGTGGGGGTCTCCGAGTCAAGTCCAGATGAAAAGGACACAGTCTAGAAAACAGAGCAATTTCAAAATCATTCAAGTTCTTTACTTGTATTAACACCGTCAAATGTGGAAGGGCTAGTAAATACTAGCAGTACTTGAAAATGAGTAATTTCTGTCGTGTCAGTAATTCATGTTCACATCGGGTCCTCACAAGCACACCCTGAGTTGGGTAACACACATATAATCATTCCCATTTTATGTGCCAGGATTTGAGGATTAGAGATTAAATGACTTCCGTAAAGAACATGGAGCCAGCAAGAGGAAGAGCCAGGACAGAAATATGGATCTCCCCGCTCTTGCCCGGTCCACTGAGCACATATGGCCTCCTAATAAAAAGCAGCCTTTGCATGACATGACTACAATGAAATGCCTTGTTTGTGGAGAAGGCACTTGGCAAATAATAATGAATTGTTTAAGTTTTTCATCTCTACCAAAACAGCATAATCCACAGAGAATGTTATGCATTTGTACTTTATCTTAATGTGATGATTTTTCTCATGTTAATGATTAAAAGATAATAATATTGTAATTCTATTTTAAAATGAAAAATACAACAAATGGCGTTCTAGCATAGGAAATTTCTTTTGTTTTCTCTATGTGAACGTAAATCAAGTTTACAGGTGGAGATCTCCCCCGGTTCTAATTTGAGTAAACAGCCATTGCTAGGGAATTTTTATATGATAAATTTGTTCCCTTAAATTTCTTGAGTCCCTTACTACCTGTGTGGAATGAAACTCTGTTTTTAAGTAGAAAGTCAACTTTAGAATTTGAATATTAAGATAAAAATAATTATCTAATATTACTGTAGTCCAAGAGCTTTTCTTTCCAATTAATTTATCTCATTCCATTAGCATAAGATGTTTAAATGTATCACAAACCGACCTACCTTTTAATTCAAAATTTTCGGTGTATAATGAAGTGATGATTAGCAAATTTGCTATTCCTTGGATCTCTTCCTTCCTTCCTTCTTTTTTTTGTTTATTCCGAGTGCGCTCAGGTCATCGCTTTTATCCCCTAACCACTCTGGCAGCTCACTTGGATATATGACATATTAGGTCTATAAGTCAGCAGACCTTGACTTCTCTAATGGGCCCTCATTCAGAATAGCAGCTGTGCTTTCATTTTATTCTGCCATTGAACCTTTAGAGTGGGACAATTTTATGTAATTTAACAAAAGGAAATAAATGAGCAATTTGTGTCATTAATTTCTCAATCTTTTTAAGGAAATGATGTAAGGATAAAGAATCAAAGATTTTTTTAAAAAATTGAAATGTTTTACAGGTTTGATTGAACTTATTTGGCCCTAGGGAGGTTCTTATGACGATTAACAAATATATTTGACTTTCTTTTCTTTCCTCCCTAAGTTCAAATTACTCTAGGCATGTGAAATCAACTAAATAGATTACAAAGAAGACAAAAATGACAAAAATTGTAATCTTGTGGTGAAGATATAAATTGGAGCCTATGATTGGAGTGTGTTTCCATGATCATTGACTTTTGTATAGAATATGTATATTCTATGTAAGAATATACATAAACTTCAATATACTCAATTCAATATACGTCATTATGTTAGAAAAGTCCATTAAAAACCTAGAGAAGTTAAAATGGTTCAAATATAGACATACAGTAAGTATGAAGGTATTCAATATATTTATCCACTGACTTTTAATATTCCTTTTCCTTGGACAATATTCTTAATCTCTTAAATATTCATCAAACTGATTTAATGGAGCAAAGTCATAAAAGTCATTTTGCAGTGATTTCATAAGTGTAAATGAAAATATGGTACGTTCATTATACAGCGCAAGTGACTCCAGCATCTTCAGCATGTGAACAAACTCTCACACCCCATTGTTTGATTTTACACTCTTCGATAGATGATTCTCTCCCAAAGCAAAATACTTCATTCAGCCATATTGGACCAGTACCTGCAAAAATCCGATAAATCTGCATTAGTAAGTATAGTTTAGTGCTTATGTTTGAGTGGGACAAAGCCATTAATTTATTCACTAATTTAACAAAAATGTGTTGATCTTTATCTATATACAAATTCTGTGTCCTCTATTAAGATTCAAAATTAAGTGCCCACCCTAGAAAACTTTATACTCTGTCAATGTGTAGACTACCAAAATACAACCTAATAAGAGCTATAACAAAGGTGCATACACAGTTCCACAAAATCATAGGTTAAAGGATGATTGTTTTTCTCTAAGGCTTTGACAGATTAGTTATATTTTAAAAATAAGGAAGGAAATAGGCTTTAATAATAATGGATATATGCAGTGACCCGGTGATCTAAATGCATCTGTATGAGGCATATCTGGAATGTAAGATAGCCTGGGGTTCTTTTCTTAGCTCCCAGTGTATTTCAGTTTACATGTGCCTGGTTTACCAAATATATTATCTATTTTTAATTAAACTAAGACTAATACAATCAGCAAAGGGCTTACAAACTATCCTGCAAGAAGACCACGGGTTATTAATTGCAAGAGCAAGCAAACAACAAGAACACGGCAGAGTAATACTTAATGCTCTTTGTCGAGACTTGTCCTCAGACACGCTAGAAGGAAAAACAATGGCTGTCACCAGTGGTCTACCTAGCAGATAATTAACTAAATAAACAAGCTTAACTGCCGCTTTCAAGATAAGGATGTTATTTTATCAATGAGTAAGAAAACAGCTGCATTTCTTGAAAGGAATTCATGGGAAGAAAAGATAACTTTAAAAATGAATGTTTGGAGAAAAGGTTAAAAGTTCTCCTTTCTCTTACACTTAAGACATTTGGTAACAGAGCCTTTGAAAAACTTCTAAATGGTTTTGTTAAACATATAATTATGCAAACATCTTAATGAGTTTTCCAGAGCATTTCATGCCATCAAGAAACTGATTACTTAGCAAGTAAATTTTAACAAACACCTTTGCAAAACTGGTGAATGGTAAATAAATATAGTAATACTATAAGCATAATCAAAAATGCATTTTTTTCATTTGGATCAATATGATGTTGAAAGGTTCTCCTTCAGTCACAAGAGCTATATAAAACATATTTAGAAATAAATTCGACTTAGAAACAAACATTTGTGTAGCTATAAAATAGTACAAAACAAGTTAAATGAAGACTTGTGTTTCTTTTTTTTTTTTTTTTTTGGTGAGGAAGTTTCACCCTGAGCTAACATCGGTTGCCAATCTTCGTTTTTGTTCTTTTGGCTTGAGGAGCTAACATCTGTGCCAATCTTCCTCTACTTTGTACATGGGAAGCCTCCACAGCATGGCTGATGAGTGGAGTAAGTTCTCACCTGGGGTCCAAACCCGTGAACTTGGGCTGCTGAAATGGAGCGTGTGGAAGTTTAACCACTCGGCCACCAGGCCGGCCCCAAAGACTTGTTTTTCTAAGAGGCATATATCATGGCACATATAATGACATTACTCTTTCTGATTTTCACATATCTTGTGAGCTTAATAAATAAAAGTTTACAATATGTACATGGTTAATAATGTGCAGAATTGTATAGTAGTATGTGCATATATGAATAAATTAGCAGATATTGGGGATTTTGTAATCACAATGTAGATAACATTTGACCTAACCTTAAAAAATGGATAGAGGTTTTCCATGTATAAAAAAAAAGTCATTCCATGTAGTGGGGGCAGCATGAAAATGCTTGCTGTATTAGAACAGTTAACAGTTTCCTGGTATCTAAAACACACAGTATATTAATGAGGGGAGGAGGACTCATTGGAAAAGTTAGATAGAAAGATGGGGCCATGCTTTAAAAATGTTTGAACTTTATATTGTGAGTCACCAAAGAAATGACATCATCAGAACTACATTTTAGAATTGTATGTCCAACAGAAATGTAGAAGTTGAAGAAGAAAAAATTTGTAAGCCAGAAGGACAGTTAATAGGATGTCTAAATAGACATTTCTTTTGAAGACTCATGTTTTTATTTATCTTAGAATTAGACAAGGAACTTTGATTTCCACACATAAAATAAATTGGTGCATTCACTTAATTTGTTGTTGTTGTTGCTGAGGAAGATTCACCCTGAGCTAACATCTGTTGCCAATCTTCCTCTTTTTGTTTGAGGAAGATTTGTCTTGAGCTAACATCTGTGCCAATCTTCCTCTATTTTGTATGAGGGATGCCACCACAGCATGGCCACTGATGAGTGGTGTAGGTCCATGCCCGGGAACTGAACCTGGGCCACTGAAGCTGAGTGGGTCGAACTTAACCACTAGGCCATGGGGCCTGCCCACTTGATATTTTAATAATTTATACCTTCACTAGAAAAATCCAAATATTAGACAGAATTATATTTAGCTTTATATTATCAAGGTAATTAGGAATACTGTATTTTGCATTTCCTATAACAGTAATTAAATCATTAGAATCCTAACAATGTTTCTATTAGAAAAGCAAAGGTTTTCCTGGACTGATCAATTATAAGAGCAGAAACCTGGAGAGCTCAAGGGTTTTTCTGAAATGTTCGTAACGGTATGGAACCTTTTCGACTTGAAATTTTAAGACAGAGAAACAGGACAGATGAAGGAGATTGTCGTCTCAGAATTAGACGCCTTGTCAGGAATACGTTTTGGTTCCCAAAGTGCTCTGACTGGGCATAGCGCTGTGCCTTTTGTGTTTGTGAGTGTTTGTATGTGTAGTAGGTTTGTGTATGTGTGTTTCTTTTAAATACATAAAGTCTATACAAACTTTTTTGGAAGCCCCCAAGGGCTACTCAAAAATAGAGGCGAATAATAACAATTGCACAAACAGTAAAACTACTTTCATGTTAACACGGAAGGGAGCCAAAAGAGTGGGACAATTATAGATTGCATTTATGGACGTTTATAAATTGTATAAACAAACACAAGTAAAATTTTTGGTGCAAGCCATGGCTTTGTTGTAATTGGGAGCATGAGGATATTATGGCTCCATGGCCTCCATAGCCAGGCACTGGGATGTGTTCACTCTACATTCTGTAGATCAAGGCACTGGATTTAGATCTCAGCAGTGCAGAATTTTTACAATCCAGGGAAAGAGAATTAAGAATGAGAATCCTCCCAATGGCAGCAGCACCAGCAGGGCCATCCCCACGGGGGCAGCATAAGATAGATATTATTTAGTCAATTAACGTGCTGACACGTGAGCACAAGTTTTTAGAAACCACAGTAGGGGAATTCATGAATGTTAGAAGTTCTTGTAATCGTTCTTATAATAACCTTGTGAAATAATGGCAATTATCTCCATTTCATAGGTAAATAAACTGAGACTCAGGAAGGATGGATGACTTTCTCAAAATAGCAGAGAGAATAGAGCCAGGCAACAAAATATCTCAAATTTGCTGCTATTCATTGACTACACAGAAGCCCAAACAGAGTTATCAAAATAATTTTCAAAGGCTTTTAAAATTTTCCATGAACATGTTCAGAACTATTGAGCCTAAGGGGAAAATTTGTTTAATACTCATTTCCCATTTCCTTCCAAACTGTTTTCTGCATTAAAAATTAATGCAAAGGTAGCATAAAATTTTCTCTTCATGTAAGCCTCAAAGATTATCAAACAAATTTGTTTTTATTTCTTCAGGTAATAACTGTTACTCAAGGATTTTTGGTGTTGTTTCTGCCATTATTATTTTTTTGCCTCTGAACTATGCTTTCTGCTAGTGGAAACATGCAAAAGTAATGTGTATATTTTAGATATGTTTTTTTTTCTAATCCTATCAATTTATCATCTTTCTATCTATCTGCCTAACCATTTATATACATCCACAATTCCCTAGACAATTTGAGGGCTGTAGGGAGGACAAATTGATCAATTTTGTGTTTCCAAAAGCAGACAATGACAACGCTAATTGTCCATGGCTTCTGGAATTTTATGAGCTTGGTTTGTGATGCTTGAGAGTACGCTTGACAGATGATACCATTTCTTCTTAATCTCTTTTTTAAAAAAAGACAGATATTGATATTTCTTTGAGGGATTTGAGTTTCTTTAATCTGATCCTTAGTAACCCACTGCTTTTATGAAAAAAAAAGATAATCATATTTTATACATTAGCCAGATGTGTGGTAGAGTGACGAGATTTGAGATTAGCTGCTGAATAGATAAGTGGGGAAGCAAAAATCACTAATGGTTAAAAGTCTCTGAATTTTAATGAAATCCAGTCATGGCTGGGTGACATGAATTTGTATCACTTTTAAGACTTCTAGTTGGGAAATGCTTTGTTAACAGCTTCTCCTTCGAGGAAAACATTATTTTGAGGGGATCAAATTTGCAAAAGGAGTGGGAATCAGAATAGAGAACGGGTCAACTTTGACAATAGTTCTGGATTCTAGTTTTGTGGTTCTAGAGAAGCCACTTATTTTCCCTGTTTTATCATATATGCACAAGAGAGGGGTGGGACTAAAATAGCTCTAAGATTTCATTCATACAATTCTAAGATTCTGAAGAAGCAAGCTCCTTAGAAATGAAGTTCTTATGGATAAAGAACTTAGGACATTCTGTCCAGTGGAAAGAGACAGGTGAAGGCATGAATCTTCACCCACTCCCTGAAACCAACATAATAGCTATGTAAATTTGGCCAAGTTTTGTGACAGTTCTGTCAGTTTTCCTTCCTTTATGAAAATTGGGGCTATAATATCTAACTCTCACAGGTACTGTGAGCACTAAATGAGATCATGTGGTAAGCACTTGATAAACAATATTATTCCATACTTAATATTGTCTTTTTTAGCATAAGTAACAAAATAGATACGCTAAGAACTCCATAGGCTCTATATCAATTCCACAATATCCAACATTTAAACATCTACATTTTAAAACTTTCAGTGTTCACGGAGCAGTATGTAAGAATTTGAGTACTGACCCATTGATATATTTTATTTACCTTTGGGATTATTTTTATTCCTGTTCACCAAAGGATAGTTCAGAGATGCAGATATATTTTTGATCTCCTTCAGTTTATTCCTGTATTTTTTTAAATTCCACTTAGAGAATTATTATGGAATGTGAAAGGGGTAATGAATAAAAGATGGCATTTATGTCTAGAATTTTCTTTTGTTTCTGCTTTCAAGTTTGGAGCTTCAGCACACAGACTCTTGTGAACTCGGAAGACGAGATGGCTGCTCCGGGTCTTGCTCTTACTTCGTGCATCAGCAAATAGGCCCAGACATGCCTGAAACAAATTCCCGGAGACCCACCATTATGTGGTAAAGCTCATCCAAGTTTGCTACAGGGAGACCATGGGGACAAGAAATAGGACAGCATGCTCAGGGGGAGAAGTGACTCACTCCCCCTTCCCTGCCCCATGCAATGACAAGCACCAGAGCCTCTCAGTGCTTCCTTAATTTACACTTTCTGTCTCCCTAGGAAAAAGAAAGAACATTCCACTTGATGCAAAAGGCATGCCCGAATGAAAGAACCTATTTAAAGGAGCGTGCTTTAAGCTTTATTCCTATAAATCATTTTGCTTGCAGCTGCAAAGCTCATTGTTCTTAAAGCTAACAAGGATTATCTCTGGTAAGCCAGGTTTGCTATTTTAAAATCAGAATTTAAAAAAGGGAGGGGGAAACTGTGTCCAGAAAATTGTATGCTTTCTTTAATGGGGGACTCATATAAAGCGTTTATCCTCTTCAAACCTTTTTCTTCGTTTCAATTTTGGTAATAATGTACAATATAGTATTAATCTGATTCTTCTTACTTTCTTAAGAGAATGACAAATAATTAAAACTCTGGTGTATCTCTTACTCTTCTCTACCCCTCCAATCATATTTCTGTTTCCTTTCCTGTCGCTATTCTGCATTCAAAATTGCTTTTTCTTTTCCTCCCGAGTAAAACTGTAAATTTAAGGGGAAGAAGTGGAAAAATAAGGAAGAATTTAAACAGCTTTACATAAAAGGGTTGCTTGCCATGTCTAATCCAAAATCAGCTTACAACGTAAGCCTGTTTCTTAAAATACAATGTACGGTGAAGCAGATCATGGAATTCATTTCTCAGATTCTTTTTCTTCAGAACAAATAACCTCAGTTCTATTATTTCTCCCAGCTCATCGTGCTTTATTAGTTTAAAATTCTCATAATCATTCTTCACTTGTTTGGGACTGAACTCTACGCAGAGAGCTGAAACAAGAGCCGGGTCTGTCTTGAGTGGAGTGAGGAGATAAAGCTCCTACATAGCATACTTCTTCAGTCACACCTCTGTGCAACAGAAAATCACATTCAACTTTACAACCCTTAGAACATCACTGATGTCGCTACACAAGATAATACTGATCTGACTGTTTTACCTTTCAAAGAGGATGGCAAATAAACTTGTAGTCATGCAGTTGGTGGTGTTGCTAACTGTGAGCTCTGCCACCATTGAGCAATGCTGTGAGTCAAGCTTCGAAGTGGGCACTTCCTATACGTCAGCTCATTTAAGGTTCCAAATAAATCTGCTGGGTTGGTATTATTATTCTCATTTTGTTGGAAAGGAAATTGAAACTCTGAGACATAAGTATCAGAGCTGAGGTTTCAACTCTTGTCTCCTTAGTTATAAAATTCCTAGTCTTCCCAAGTCACTTCAGTAGGCACTTAAAAATGTGGAAGGAAAAACAAAATTCAGACACACCTTGTGTTATTATAATAAAGCTCTAGTATAATGTTTAGAATCACCAACTACCATAAATACACAGCCTCACCAAAAATGAACATCTTAGAGAAGTAGTCAGTTATCTGAAGAAAACTTGAGAGAAATTGTCTCCACAGGGCCAAATAATTTCACATGAGACTAAACTCTATTGTTTCATTACTTATTTAAATAGAAAACATTTTCTTGCCAGTATTTCAGAATACTTATTTCCTTCCTTTCTGACCAGTGCTTTCAGCCAGAAATCTCTCGAGATATAAGCAGGAATGAATAAAAGCTGTGGGGAAAAGAATATTTTACTTGTGAGGCGAGACTTTAAAGTTAATGCAATCTTAGGACAATAGTCGCCAACTACGTGTTTCCCATCTATGCTTGGAACTTCAAGGGAAAAACAGCTTTGAAGTCCATGGCAAAGCCTCATGTTCAGAGAAGAAATAAACCTTTGGTACAACATCTCGTTCGCTTTCCTACCACAAATTGGGTTGTGCCAAAACCTTCCTAGTTTCCCCTGAATTAAGGTACAGATACTACTGCTGTTGCTCTGAATTTGGTTTTCTCTTTGTAATAGATTAAAGATTTCCTTCAAGATATAAGAGATTAGTAAACTGTACTACCGGGCTTGTTTCTTAAAGATACAAAGCTAAATGCAGAGTTGTCAACTCTTTGGATAACGTAAGCTATAAAATAACTCATCTTGATGAAAGGTATTTTAGGATGTTTTTCTCTTTTTGAATTGAACTATTCAGCTAGCCCATGTGAATTAAATTATCTGAACAATTGACAAACTATATTTCATTTCATCAACAGAGGCACGTCCTGGGAATCCAAAGCATCCACATGCTGCTATTTCTGAAACAAGAATTTCAGGTGAGTAAGCCACATGGATGACGACTGTGTATCTTCCATTAGAACTAGAGCTGCCTGTTTTTCATATATGCTAACAGTCATCTGAAATGTTTTATACAATTGTGTATTTAAATAAACGGTCTTTCATGCTACGGATCTTAGTTATCATAGAAATGGATTCTCTCCCCATACTACACCGTGAAAACTCAGATTGGCAGCTTAGTTTTGCTAAATGATTGACTGATTCTCTAGGGGCTAAGAGCTGGGGATCTTTTTCTTTTCCCTTTCTATGGGAAAAAAAAAATCTAACTTATTGATGTTTAGAACATTTCACTTTAGGGGGTAAATTTTACAGGTGCAAGAATGATTTTAGGCTCGCACTTTTCAACCTGGGGAAAAAGTGCTGAAAGTGTAGCAGAGATGGAACATTTGGAAATTCCAAATATTTATTTGGTTTTGGCAAATCATGGGTATTTTCCATTTCCTTGTTTCTTCTTTTCAAACTTTTAAGGCACAAATTAAAAACTGGTGGCCAGGGGCTGAACTCACAACATCACCATTTTCTTGTCTTGTCTAGCCCTTTTATGAAAATAAATTATCTTTCTTGCCTCTGAAGCCTTTAGAGCCTGGACCCCTCCTTAAATCTGATACAGTGAATGCTCTTAGGTAAAAGAATAAAGGATATAATTGTGACCCATTATTAATAGTATTCAGGTGTTTAGCACAATGCCTGGAACATAATTGTTACTCAATAAATTGTAGCATAATATCACTTAATATCTTTTATGAATTTAAGAAATCTATCTTATCTTGTTCTGGTCTTTTGATATGATGATTTGATACACCTCCCTATTTTATCATATTTTTATAGAGATAAAATAGCAGCATTAACAGGTAATCTTATCTTTATAATTTTGCATACAATTTCTTTGTGCCCGTATCTATCCAGAATAACACTTATGAAATCAAGAATGTCAAATCTTTCTTTTTGGTCCACATCAACTTCAGAGAAGCCAATTATTTATTTATCAGATTTGGATAGTAGGATAAGTAAATGGGAAATATTGACTTTTAAATTCTAGTTCATGTATGTATGGCTACTTTTAAAAAAGTCCCTTTGTCATTCAGAATTGAAACCCTTGTATATGTTTAATAATACATAAAACCTGCTATAAGGTGGCAATTTAGAAAAAAACAATGGGACAGTAAAACTGTCATGGGTATACATTCAAATATTTTGTCTCCTGCAAATTTTCTTCCCAGCTCTTTTAATACATTCATGGAACAGGTGACTGGGTCATCCAAGTGAAAATACACAAATGCACATGCAGCCAAAGAATTATTCAAAGTTTTATCAGCCTCAAATAGAGGGGAAGTAACCTTTCATCTTCCCTTATTTTCTCATGTTCCTTAAAGGAGAAGTCATAAGTTGTGGGTATAGAGATTCTGTGCAATTGCTTCCTTCTCTTTCATGACCCTTCACTGTCCTTTCAGAAACAGGTGCACCATCATGGATTAAGGATATACCTCATTCCTGTGGGACACGACTAGGAGGGAAATGCAGAAGCTGGCTCCCTCCTCTCCAGTTCTATAGAAGACAGAATATGAGCAAACATGCGGAATTGCTCAGATCCCCACAAGACCCAGATATGTAAACTGAGTTTCGCAGGATGTCATGCCTTGTCTCTATAATGCTCTTGTCCCTATTTCTCTTGCTCTGCTTTACCGATCACTCTATTTTCCTCTCTGTTAGTATTCAACTAACCAATTGAGTCTACTAGAAACGTAAACATTAAAGGTTGTCTGAGAGCATATATCATTTGTTTTCAATGTCTCTTTCTTTTCATTTCTACTTTCTAGGAAAGGCCATTAAAAAAATCGTACATGGAACTTTTCCTCTTATCCTGTATCTTCCTGTCTCTACCTGATTCTACATATTGGAGAAGCCTACATTTCATTTTTTAAGAAACAACATTTTTCTTAAATTACCTTGTCCAAAATAAGCTCCCTTGTGCACATTTTGAACATTTTGGTATCCCAAACTCCTGCAGATGACCTGTCCGACACGCAGTTCCCAGCGATCGTCACAAACTGTACCCCACTGGCCGTTATGAAAAACCTCCACTCTGCCCTCGTGAGGGCCGCTCCCACCAACCAGTCGAACCGTCTTAGATGGAGCTGTAACAAAAACAACCAGGGATTAATTATATATACACGTATATAGTTACATACGTGTATATTATATATACATATAGTTTATAACACTTTTTTAAAAAGTACTTTAGCATGTTTTTTCAGCAAGTTGAACTATTAGAATAAATATTAAACTTTCTAGCACCACCTATTGGTAAAGAGTTTAATGGCAAACATTGCATTAGTCAAAGCTGAAGCATAAAATCTATTCTCTCTAATTTAACATTTATATAAGTGACATATGCAGCCCTGGTGGTGTAGTGGTTAAGATTTGGTGGTCTCGCCACCATGGCCTGGGTTCATTTCTGGTCAGGGAACCACACTCCTCGTTTTTCAGTTGTCGTACTGTGATTGCTATGTGTCACTGTGATGCTGAAGGCTTTGTCATTGGTATTTTAAAAAACAGCAGGGTCACCTATGGTGGACAGGTTTCAGTGGGGCTTCCAGACTAAGATAGAGTAGGAAGAAGGACCTGGCCACCCACTTCTGAAAAGATGAGAGGATGGTGCAAAAAGACTGGGTAGGTTTTCGCTCTGCTGTTCACAGGGTCGCTAGTAGTTGGAGTGGACTCTACCGCACTAACAACGAAGTTACATATACGAGAGTGCTTTAAGGACTGTGTTCCAATAACTACTATTCAACAGCTATAGGTTTTTCAATGTTATATAGACTTTTCACACTAGTTAGAAAAGTTTATACCAAAATGATTCATTATTTTCTTGACACACTAACACAACCCAGTGACTTTCAATGATGTAAGAGGTCGAGGACATTTTATATCATAAACACAACAATAGGTGACCAAGCATCCTATCTTTTACCGAGAGAAACAAGATAACTATAGTAACAACATTCTTTTAGAAATAGCACAGATCTTCCTGGTTATAAGACCCCTACATTTTGTCCCAATAATGAGATAAAAATCAGATAATTTTTGTGCATTTTGAGAAATGACTAAAGCAGTAAACTTTGTGGAGAAATATACAATGTTTTTAATTATAAAAGTAATTTTGTTCTGCCTTGTCTAAGTAATCAAAATTGCCATATAAAGGATAAACTTTTGTATAGTCTTGATCCTGCTCAGAGATTTACATCAATATTAAATGTGTCTTTCCTATTTTTAAAAACCAACATAAACATTTTGAACCTAGGGACAGATAAATGAAGTGCGTAATTAACATTACAAAAACAATTCACTTGGAATATCAATATTTCTTTAAAGAGCTTGTGCTATTCTAATAAGTATTTGCTTAAAAATCATTTGACTAAAGAAGAGAATGAAAGGCAGAGACAGAAAATGTTTTTCAAAATTTAGTTAGTGCTGAATAAAAACAATATTCTTCAATAATCATAAAGCCAATGAATACAGTTTTATTTAAATATATCTTTTCCAATATAAGTTTAAGATACACTATATTATAAAAAAGCAAGATATAATTACCACAACAAAAATATCTCTAATGTGAAACTGGAGTTTTACTAAATGGGGTTTCAGAGCTCAGTTAATTGAAGAAATATTTAGTAACCTTTTTTTTCTAATTGGAGTAAATTTTGTTGAAACAGTAATCCAATAACATGTAAAGAAAACCAACCATTTTCTATAACAAAACTGACTGAGCCACTTAGGAACATGAAAAGCTAACATGTTATTATATAGTATTACGATTATAATTATTTCTCGATTCTTTCAAAATATACTTCAGCGTTAGATACTGAATTAATGTAATCATGCCCAAGTGCATGAACCATCCCTTACTTGATAAACATGAGTTAAAAACATTCTAAAAGGGAAAATAATTTGCTATTACAGTATTCAAACTTTCATTTACAAAGTAAAATACCTGGGTGACCCAGTCATTCACGGTAATTGCCTAAGAAAATAGGAAAGAATAATCAAGGAATGGATTGTGTAGAGTCTTAAAAATTAGAGTCATGTAGTATTAACTAGTGTCACTCCCAAATGTTTATTTTTACAGAAGTCACATGTATCCAAGCATAATATATTTATCACGATGCTATAACAAAACAGACACCATATTCAAACATTTGGTTATATGAGCTCGATTGTCTCATTGCACCAGTAAGTGTAGGAAAGTCTTCTCACTGTGCCTTCTTTACCTTTTACCCTCCCAAATATCATTAAAGAGGCTTGGCTGTCCTGGAGCAGAGGTTCTCAAACTTTAGAGTTTCCTTAGTCAGCTTGGTCTGCTACAACAAAATATCATAGACTGGGTGGCTTAAACAACAGGCGTTTATTTCTCACAGTCCTGGAGGCGGGGCAGTCCAACACCAACGTGCTGGCAGATTTGGTGTCTTGTGTCTTCTGAGGCCAGCTTCTTGGCTGGTAGATAGCTGCCATCTCCCCGTGTGCTCACATGGCCTTTCCTCTGTGTATGCTTATGGAGAGAAGGAGAACACGCTCTCCAGTCGTCTCTTCTAATAAGAGTACCACTCCCATTATGAGGGACCTCACCCTCAGGACCTCATCCAAACTTTACCTCCCAAAGAGCCTACCTCCCAATACCATCACACTGGTGTTTAGGGCTTCAAAACGTGAATTTGGGAAGGAGGGACACAACTCGATCCATATCAGTCTGCACTGAAATCTTAGATTGTTAATCCCACACCCAGGGCTTCTGGTTCAGTAGGTCTTGAGTGGGACCCAAGAATTTGTGCTTTTAATGAATTCCCAGCTGATGCTGATAGTTTTATACAATCCTTTGGCCTCATTTATTCCAAAAAGAATGGCTGCAGGTTTCTTTCACATCTCCCATGCTTGTGGGATTTTGAATTCCCCCTTTTTTTTTTTTGAGGAAGATTAGCCCTGACCTAACATCCATGCCCATCTTCCTCTACTTTATATGTGGGAGGTCTGCCACAGCATGGCATGCCAATCGGTGCCATGTTTGCACCCGGGATCCAAACCGGTGAACCCCGGGCCGCCAAGAAGCTGAAGGTGCGAACTTAACCACTACACCACCAGGCCGGCCCCTTAGGGCCAAATAAGTTTGGGCATGCCTATGCCTATCTGTCACCTAAATATATTCAACTATAAATCAACTACTGACAGGTGACCACACTTTGCTGATCCTTGACCACCTCTGAAGGAATATAGAGGAAAGAGGCAGGTTGATAGACTTATTCAAGTGTCAGCATCACACATTCACTTCTGTTCGGCTGATGGAGAAAAGTTCATTTTGTCATTTTGCACAGCCTCAATCATCACATTTTCTCTATAAGACGGCAGATCAGAATTTTCTTTGAATTTAGCCAACTCGTTATACGGATGTAAATAACGCCTATGGTTTCTTTGGCATCAAGCTAACATATTTAGTCAGATAGATTTTTTTCCAACGGAGAATTTTTGTCTTGTATCTAAAGATCAGAAGAAAGAATGGTTTATGCATTTTTCTCTGGGTAGCAGTCTTAATTTTCCTCTTGACTTTATTAATGTAGACTTTTTCCACATTCAAATCAGATAAACACAGGTAAGTAACTATGTGCCCACTGAATGATTCTCTGTATTAGTTATTTCTTTGCAATTGGCTCAAAACAGAAACACAAACAAACTGGAAATGATATTACATGTTAAGGACCACAGGATTGCCTATGGAACCTGGGAATAAGTTTATATTAGGCATCTGGAACAGCTGAACCAAAACTCGAATCTGCTCAGGACTCTTTTCTCCAACTTTTACCCAGGAGTCTCTGTAAGTTGCTTCATTCTTCTCTTTTGTTGCAGGCTGGATATCTTTGTTCCCCAGTCCACATGACAGAACACATCTGTTAACAGCCCCTAAGTTTATATTTTACAGTCTCTTTCTCAATGGCAGTTCTAAAACACCCAAGGAAGTTCTCCGATGGCCTAGTTTGGACCAGCTGTCAATTTATGGACTAAACAGCTAGGCCCAAAGACAGTGTCACTTGCAATAATGTAGCATTCCTTGAGTAAGGATGGAGAGGCATTTCTTTGTTGAAGGTTTTAAGGTGAGTTTTGAGCAAGACAATAATTCAGTCCATAAAAGACATTGTAATAATCTTGGTATCTATGAATATTAGTTATATATATATATATATATATATTTGTATATGTTTAGCCATGTGTTCTTTTTCATATCTGTGGCTGTAGAGAGTAACTGAAATTAAAAACCCAGGAGTCAGATAATCTGGATTTTAGTTCTGCCTCTGATACTGTTTATGCAAACTTATTAAACCATTTAACCTCTCTAGGACCAAATTTTCCAACTGTTAAAAAGAGAAAATGATATTTGCTCTCAGTTAAATGCATCTAAACACAACTTCTCTGTGCCAGCCATTTCCCTCAGTTCCAGGAATTATTTGAATGAATAAATAATTTAATAAATAAATAAAATTAATAAATAAATTTGGATAAATAAATAAATAAATTTGAATAATAAACACATATCCTGCCTTCAAGAATTAGGTATCTTTTAGGTTATTATGAAGGTTAGAGAAATAGTTCATTCCTTAAAATGGGGTGGAAATATAAAGTTTTTATTTTTATAAGTTGTGAAAATTTTGAGGTTTACATTTTGCCATGAAAGTGTTAGAATGAATATATTATCTGTGATATTAATCACCTTACTCATTAATTTTTTTTACTAATTCCCTATTTAATGCTTATCTTTCTCAAAGAGGAGTTCATAACCAGCTGGGATAAGCTTCTACAGGTAGAGAAACCTACCCCATGGTTGAAGATGTGAGTTCATTTGACCTTTGTTATTTCCAAACATGATGTTACGAAGAGTCTCTTCTAGGCCAGTAACTAGTAAACTGTGGCCCGCAGGCTGATTCCAGCCTGCTGCCTGTTGTGTGAATAAAGTTCTAGTGGAATGTAGATTAGCTTACACATCGTCTAGGGCTGCTTTCAGGCTACAACAGCACAGTTGAATAGTGTGACAGAGACCTTCTGACAAGTAAAGAATATTTACTATCTGGCCCTTTACGAAAAAAGCTTGCCAAAC